ATATATAGTATATATAATAGTGACACTACTATTAGAGATCATTGACACCACTAGCTCCAAGAAACGGTCTTGCTAATCACTTTGTATTACAAGACCTTGTATTACAATCACAATACAGGCACTTTGTATTACAATCACAATACAGGCACTTTGTATTACAATCACGTTGCATACATTGTATCAATTAGTATAGACAATCAGTTGCACAGGCTCGTCGGGCTATGACACCCCGAGAGAGCGGTGTCAAGAATATACATTTACGACGATCACATATATTTTACAAGTATAATATTCAAGTTTATTTTGTAACACTAAAACAGTCACTATCATTTTTATATTACATATCATTTGGTATGAAATAGTATATGTACTTCTACTGGACTCCTTGATCAAAATATAAACGATTGAATGATGATAATACGAAGAAGAAGGCGATGAAGGAAAAGACAAATAAGGAGGACGGGAAGGAGGAGAGAGGGAGGATGAAGTAGAAGATGAAAAAAAAGGAGAAGTAGAAGAAGAAAAAGAAAAAGAAAATTGTGCTGAATTGCACACGTGAAGGTTGCATTCCGCGTTTTTTCACATCAATGACGACAATGATGACCATAGCATTTAGTAGAGGGCAGCACTGCGCATTACAGTGCAGAGGTTTTTAGAAATAGTATTGAGTACTGGAGGCGTACGACCATGTATACATGTAGGACCTAGGTAACTAAGAATAGGGCCTGCATGTAGGTAGATGCGAGGACATTTTGTATAGTTCATACTTTATAGTACAAAGTCCGATAGATAGGAAAATGAACATTATGTATACAGATGTTTGAGTTCCTATTCGACCGCCTTGTTGGTGATAAAGAGAGGTGAGCAAACTGCATGACTTGAAGTTGAACTTTGAGTTTCAAGTTGAGTGTAGACTTATCGCAAACAAGTGTCCGTGTGCATGTCGTGGACAAATATTTTAGTAGATTTTGGTCCGCAGAAGTTGTCGGGCAAGTTACGTACATAGCGTGCAAGTGAGGCTCAGTACCTGGTAGGTAGTAACTAAATTATATTTCATGGCTATTTATTTGTTATTGCATGGACGGTCACGGAGTTAGCATAGGTATCGCAGTGCTGTTTGTGTCTTTAACCACTGACACCCGCAATCTAGCATCTACTTAGCTTCTACTAGTAACTATAGCCCGCGTACGGTTACTACGCCCGTAACTACGTGCCGTTACTAGAGCTAGCATCTACTACTACTGTCCTGACACGTAGCCCGACGAGGCTGTGCGACTGATTGTCGACAAAGTGTTTTGTAAATACAAAGTGTCATACAAAGTGTCATACAAAGTGTCATCAAAGTGTAAATACAAAGTGTCTTGTCTATACAAAGGTCTTGTAATACAAAGTGATTAGCAATACCGTTTCTTGGAGCTTCTACTACTGCTGCTGCTGCTACTGCGCCGATTACTATTAGTATTGCTGAGAGGGTCTATGTCCTCTGGGGTACTGCCGGAACGTACCCTGGGTACGGTCCGGTATACCGGAACGTACCCTGTTACTATCTAATATGCCGGACCGTACCTCGCCTACTTCACTAACGAGTCTAGGGAGTCGCCTATGCCTACTACCTAACCCTAACCCTAACTCTAACCCTAACCCTAACCCTAACCCTAATCCTAACCCTAACCATATCAAATAGTGACCAGGGTACGATCCGGTATACCGGACCGTACCCAGGGTACGTTCCGGCAGTACCCTGGGGGACATAGACCCTATGAGCATTAGTATTAGTTTATGCTGTCTTGGCATTGCCATTGGCACCATATAACTAAACAGTAAACTAACTTCGTACTACACATATATGGCTAATTTAGAGATTAAATCATTAACCATGACACAATTAGTGAGTACGCCAAGTTATGTAGAGTGAATTGATTGATTGATTTATATCGATTGAAGTGATTTAGTCAATATAATATCTAAATTGTCAGTTTATTTGTTATGTGTCAATGCTTTAAGATTTCTTTATTTATTATAAAACTATGATAATAAATTTTCAATCTATTTATTCCTCATATCCGTGTTGTAGCGAAACTTAAAATTTACATTGAGATTCCTAAACTGCTGATTTCTCAGTTTCGCTGACCAGAATAATTAACATGCTAAAAATTGGCGCTTATTCAACTGCCTAACGTTGGTTATAAATTATAATTTATATGATATGTCGTAAAACTTTATCAAATTACTTTGTTGGACTATCCAATTTCTTAGCTGAGATGTCAAATATCAAGAAAGAAAATAGATATTGACACCTATAATTTTACATTTGCCATTCTAGAGATCCAATTTGTGCAACTCTGCTTTATACCTGCATGGTCAGTACTATGGGTTTGTCAGTTTTGTTCCAAAGTCAAATTTTGGCGCAAGGTTTCAGGTTTGGGTATGACATCGTGGGATGTACAGTGCAGAATTCACATGCGATAAGATTTTGCTAATTTAGTATCCATCCCTTTTATTTTAATGTTTATGTTTTAGATTATGTAGTCAGTTTGGGATTTTCAGGACATCCTTCAATTTTGCAGTTTATTAATTATAACGTTTATATGTTATAACTCGCTGATACATACATCTCCGTAAAAATAATGCAGAATATTTGTAACAAGATTTTTTTGCCTTTTGCCAAGTGATCTCAAAATGCAAAGCATGTGCTGTAGAATCAGCAAATGTACAAAAACACAGGCATTACCCTACCAACTGCAAACAATTTCGCAGTGATCCTAAATTTTTTGTTGCATTTCTCAAAAAATGCCTTTTGTCTTAGGTGTTTCAATATACAGATTTCAATGAATCCTTGTATTTTTTCCTTTTAGAGGGAATCTTAGACTGGTACTTCACCCCACTATATAGGGGTGCTAATGGGATTTGTATTGTGTATCTAAGGTTCTTCCTAGGAATTTTAGAAGGCATGTCGAGAAATCGGGCAATTTATCCCCAATTGAAAATTGGAGTTGTGTGTGTTGTAAGCGGTCCTAATACACAGGTAGTCTCGATTAGTTCGGGGAATACAGCATGACTGTTGGCATTGTCAAAAGTAAACACAACAGGAAATTAAGGCATATTGTGGCAGGCCCTCTGATTTGACATATGCAGGAGTCTGTGTGATTCCCTGAAAATTCTGCTATACTAACTAGTTCGTTCCAGAGCACGGCCTCGCGGAATGTTTCAGTAAATGTTCAAAGAAAATTTGGCAGACGTGCAACCTCATGAATCTTCAAAATAAGCACATGCATTATTGTTAATATCTTTAGTTTTGAACTTCAGACTGCGGACTTCCTCGTTTTGCTGCGGTGGACTCCCTTGTTCACAAGTTAATTTCTACCCCTGACGCTTCCTTTGAATTAGCTGCACTGAGCGTGCCTGTCTCGGGCAAGTGCTCTGATTCGTGACGCCATGCTCATTAAGCGGACGTGCCAGCAGGTTTTATTTACACTGGTCTCTAAGGCTTTTTCCTTCTTTACGCTAGCTGTATGAATAATGGAGGATAGGCTGCAAACGGTAGGGGAGGAGCTGACTGCGATCAGGTACAGCCCCCACGGTGAGGTTGCGGTGCAGAGCCCACAGACTCCCACGCAGGTTGGCACTGTCACTGCTGCAAAGGCAAAGAAAATCTGCAAGGTGTGCGGCGACAGTGCGCTCGGCTACAACTTCAACGCAGTCACGTGCGAGTCGTGCAAGGCATTCTTCAGGAGAAATGCGCTCAAAGACCAGGTTCGTGTCGGTGCGGGCGCAAAACCAGTGCCATCTGATTTCTTACACTGATTGCCACTGGTCCCACGAAAACCGTCGTAATACAAAATAATCAAGTCGGTCGTGACATGTTAAATGTTTAATTTCGTCCTACCATCAAAATTATGATGACTCAGCCATTATTACAGATTTTCTGCCGTGGCCCATGTGATATGATATTGGAGGCAAAAAAGTCAAGTATGGCATAGTCACTTTGAAAAAAAAATTGCAAGACTCGTAGCGATCAGCCTAAGTTCGAATCATGACGTTCAGTGTTTACATACCATGTGCATGTAAAGTAGCATTCAGGGTTGAGGATCAAATGGCAATTTTTAACAGCAGGCAGGCATTGCATAAGGTTTAATCAGAAATTTGAGGGTATCAGAGCAAGTTAGTGGAGGTACACTAAGATAAACATTTCCTATGAGCGAGGGGCACTGAGGCAATTTATTTTTTATCGACACTTTTTATGCGGAACAGAAGGATAGATACACTGTGGAAAATTTATGGGAAGGGCAGATGGACAAACCCAACACAGCAGCCAGGGCATTTTGTGGACATCGGCCAATTTTAAAGGCACCATAGCAATTATTAGGAAGGAAGTCATCGCACTTGGCCTAAATGCTGTGGTGAAATTTGTACTACAGCTTGATGTTAAATTTATGAAATTAAACATGAAATAATCAACACTAGGTAACATTATACGTGATTATTTTAGTATTATCCTTTGGATTATATGGTAATACCCAGTAATATATAGGCATGGAATCTCACGCTGACATGGAAATAATATCAGGAGTAGATGAAGAGGAGTATGACTGGCTAAGAACAAGAGAAATTCAACATATTTATACTCGTATTTACCTATGATTGATTTAGTGAAATCCAATAAAAATTACATCATCACTAGCGCTGAACATCCAAAATCTCATCACACTTTACTGTGTATCGATACCTCTTCTTATTATTATGTAGTTATAGCTTCGAATGTCA